AAAATTAGAGAATTAAAGATATCATTACAAAATGAACAAATCTGAGAGAGGTCCACATGTAGTACCTATATATGTAATATCAAAGCAATTGCACTTGCGGTTTTTAACAAGAAGTCGAAAATATCACTTTTTACCAAAAATGACAAAAATATTCACCAAAATTAGAGAATTAAAGATATCATTACAAAATGAACAAATCTGAGAGAGGTCCACATGTAGTACCTATATATGTAATATCAAAGCAATTGCACTTGCGGTTTTTAACAAGAAGTCGAAAATATCGCTTTTTACCAAAAATGACAAAAATATTCACCAAAATTAGAGAATTGAAGATATCAACATGAAATGAACAAACCTAAGAGAGGTCTACCCAAGGTACATATACTACCAAGTATCAAAGCATTAAGCTTGTAGTTTTCAAGAAGAAGTCGAAAAAGTAAAACATTGACACGGACGACAGACGACGACGACAGGACAATCACTCATATGATAAGCTCCGCTCGACAAAGTCGACAGCGGAGCTAAAAAACCATGTCAATTATTTGCCGAAATCAATTCCCAAAGATAGTACTTCCACAGCAACAATTCACTTCCACATTGCATTACCGGAAAGTCTTTGGGAATTTTTGAAGAAAACACAGCATTCTGATTAGTTACTAACAGAATTGACCCATTAGGTCAAAGGACGTTACTGCAGGTCAGGTCAAATCATGCAAATACATTATGGTGGAAAGTGTTTTTCATCAAGAGTCTGCGTACGATCCAACACATTCGTCAGTGGAGATAATGAAGATTTTGACTATGACTGTGTTCTAACAGACTCAATATTTTTAATCTTGTAAATTTGGGGGTACGTAATTAATATAGTGTAATAAAATGTGCATATTTTTTGTGATCATTTCTGTTTCTTCATTGTAAAAGTCCATGACAACCTAACTAATTTCATTTCCACTCAAATATGTAATATCCCCCTCAATGTGTCACATGATGAATTAAAATTGTCATTTGCACCCATTTTCAAGGGGGGTGCTCGGGTAAGCACCCACCCCTAAAAAAATCATGATTTTCTGAGTTGAGGACCCTGAGCGCTAATGGGGTCCAGTACGGTATATGAAAGTGAAAAATATTGTTTGAGCAAAGTGAATTAATTGCGCACTCTCGTCATATATAGTGCGACTTTCAATAAGGAGTGTTTTTCTTTCCATTTGATTGAAGGCAACATCACAACAAACATTTCTTGCAATGTACCGGTAAGTATATTGTAATGTTTAAATGTTGGCAACAGATATTATTAGGAAATATAACAATTTTTTTGATAAGTTTTCAAACTAGCTTGAATGGCACATCTATCATGGACAAAAAAAACTACTGTTGATTATGTGGACATGGTAAAACATGCATAACACTTATTAAAAGCATATTATTCAGAAAAAAAGCAGCTTTAGAGACATATTATAGGCAGCCTTTATTGTCAAAGTCACAAAAACCAGAATGGCACAAAATATTGGCCTTACAGTTCTTTTGAAGGGATATGAAAATACACATACAAGATAAAAAATACAGCTAAAAACCAAATTTGTTTTGGTTTTAAAAAAACCATCAATGTTATTTGTAGTATCTATTTAATTAGCAGATTATTTTTAGCCTATCTCTAAAATGAGACAATTGTGTTGCATGATATTTCAGACAAAATTTGAGACAAAACAACATGTTTAAAAAAAAAAGCCCAGCACTACACTACTATCAGGTAAGGCATTTTTATAAACATACTTATAAGAACATTTAAACCTAACTATTTTCATCTGAAACCGGGTGCCTCGCTCCATGTCAAGTGCTCATGCATAATGTTTATAAATAGTTTATAATACCTGCCTTACTTTACAGTAGTGCATCCTACTAAAAATCAGTTTTACAAAATAATAACCCTGTAATCCCAAAAAGTCACAGCTTACAAGGGACTGCAAGCGATTAAAAGCACAGATATTAATTAGAACAGTATTGATTACAAACATATTAAATCATCAAAATATAAAAATCTCTGTGGTATATGGAATACAAGGTTCAAACCTGAGCATGTGCACGAACTTTGACCTTCCAAACTGTTCCCACAATTCATTTCACCTGAAATTTTGGTTTTTCAGGTGGCTATGAATTTTTGATTCAGATCTGAGTTTATACAATAAAGAACAACCTTTTTTTTTTAATTCCTTCAACATCCACTGAAAAAAACTTAAAGCGGCCATCTTGAATTTGTCAAAATTCGTGCAGATGATTAGTTTTTTTACCTAATTTCTCGTCTCTAAGAGGTAGTCTACACGTACATGTATTTTATTCATTTCTAATGAAACAGCACCAAATGAAATCTGTGACTTAAAAAAAAAATACAACACTAGCACCATTACTGAAAGCAAATAACAATCATAAAATTCATGAAAGAAAATGTGAAGTTGATCTTTGTCTCTAATACTATAAATGAATAGATTAAAATATGTTTCAACAAAAAAGAGCACCATTTGAAATATTCTGTGAAAATGTCAGGATGTTAACTGGTGATGGCTGAAAACTTTTCAATTCTCACTGATATACATTTTACCAGCAGCCAAGACAATTGTGACATTTAACAATTTTTTTGAAATTAAAAAAAAGAAAAGTGACTTCTTATGAAAAACAGACTGGTCCTATAGTCAAACCGAACTCTTGGTCATCACCACCGATATCAAATGGAGCAAAGTCTTGAATGGGTAGACGAGAGGTTTTCTTGGTATCGTATTCGAACACGGTCTGTCCCCATTTATCATTTCGTAACTGGAATAAAAACCAAAAATGATGAACATTAAATATTTTCTGAAAAATATAGAACAAATAAAATTACTTTTTACTTTGCAGTGGGGCTTTTTGCCAAATTTTTAGCAGAAAAAATCAATTTTGCTGCAAGTTCATAATAATTTTTGTTTGAGATGGAGAATATTTTTTTTTCTTGCCCGCATATTTCCATGAACCAATAGGTATTAAAATAAATGCATTTTTTGAAATCTTAAAAGATTTTCAAATCTTGTGTTATTATCACATCATAGCAACAGAATAAATTTCATTTTTTTATTGATACCGGTATCTATAAATGTTTATAAAACATTAACCTCGAAAGACCATCACGCTTCATTCAAATTCAAAGAAGACTCTTTTATTGGCCTTAGAAGCTGACAATTCTTTGTGTGTTTTCTTCAATCAGTGGCCAACTTAATACTTACAATGTATGCATGCAAACTCTAATTTATATGGGTGGTATGCATCTAAAGACAGTGTGATTGGTTGTTTTCAAATTTACCAATGTTTTATATAGAAAACATTCATGCCTTATGAAATTCACTGTAGCTATCAAGTATTTATGCTTATTCTGAACATGGGAGAAAAAAATAAACTTACAGTACAACCATCTTCAAATACTGAATACTGGAATCGCGTTTTGCCCTGAGCCACCAATTCTACTTCGGTGTCGGCCAATAACTTGGCAGCCTTCTTGAAATTACCCGTTTCTGCATCAAAGTAAGCAACTGAGTTCTTGCAGTGATAGGTGACGTTCTGACGACCATGAACACTTAGAAGTCGGAGGAATGTCAATTGTACAAGTTCCACATCATAATTGAACTGCAAAGACATGAGATGATGTTGAGAATGAGGAGTGTAAATTATTTCATCATTTTGCTATTAAAATAAAATTCAGTGAATTTTCACTCTTAAGAATTTGTGTGATCTTCTGTGCTTCACGAAACTACATCTGTTACAAAAATAAAGTGATTACCTATTTTAGCAGTCTTTTAAGCAGTTTTTTTTCATGGTCAACTAACTGTCCCTTTCATGGACTTTAGAGACTGTGATCAGGGTCAGATATTTAGGCAGGTATTGTGCCTACCAATGTTGATTGACATGTGCTCATCTGCACTTTGGCATATATACTCTTCTATGCTAGTGATTGAGATGCTTGCCAGACATCAGCAATTTACTGCAGCTATTTTTTTCAAAATGTCCTAATTTTGTCCAATCATTTCAGACAAGGGCCTAAGTGTTAAATTTATTTTTTTATACTTAAAATATGACAAATAATTATAAATGTCAATGAAGCTAGTTGTCAATTTGAACAAAATGTTCCAAGCTAATTTTGAGAAAATTTACCTTCTATGATATTGTAATTGCTACAATTAACACATCACCTGTTGATAATTTCCATATTCATTTTGGCTATCCATGCAGCTTCTCATCTGACATGTTAACATCTTTTTTAAACAAGGGAACAGGGACGCAGCGCCCTCATGCCATGGCCATGCGCCCCCTTACCCTGGGAAGCAGATCCTCTGGCAACCATAAAATTCTGATTGACCAGGGATCACATGTGGCCACAGTCTTCAACTGTGACCTGTCTGATAGTAATTTTGGCCCCAAGGAAGCCATAGAATGCTCCACACATTGGTAGGGAGAACCCTTGTGTTTGGTACATATAATTATATACATAATACACAATATAAAACACCTAGAAATCAACTACTCAAAATATTCAGTTTAGATTAAGTTCCAGCGTATTTTACCTTAAACCCATTCTTCATGCTATCACCAAACCAGACATGTTTGTTTGGACCTTGGTAGTAGTTCATCTTTGGAGCCTGCAAGGAGTGAAGGTACAGTCATTATCAGAGTGGATACATTGATTTGACATCACAGTTTGATGCAAGTAAATGGTAACAGCATTGTATTTTGTCAACAATTTGTGTTGTTTTATTTCTTCACCTTAACTGCACATAGTCAGTAATGGTTATGTTTCTTTTGCAAATGTTTATATTGTACACTGGCCATACCATTTTTTGTCAGTGTGTGAGTAGGGATCAAAATACTAGTAGGTTCAGGAAATGTCAGTCGTATTTAAATTGTGAATATAATGCGCATGTTACATAAACATTTAATTTTTAAATTATGATTTGAATGCTATTCGATCCTCATACACGATGTGTAAACAAACAATGTATTTTACACATGTTGCATGGGACCCATATCGATCAGGATATAAAGTTTTGTGATGGACGCTGTGTATTTAAAACCAAGATGAACTGTTAAATTTCATTATTTCCAATTAGACATGAAATCTTAATTAATAAAACAATATAAGAAAATTATGAAATAAAAAGCAGGGTACAGTATTTGCAATGTATTATGGGAAGGAAATTCTCATTTGAAAAATAAAACTTACAAACCTCCATGCAGAACTGCTTTGACAGCAAAGTTTCTCACTTTGTTTGTTTGTGAATGATTTAAAAAAAAAAGCAATTATAATATTGAGCATACCTCAGTCTTTTCTGGGAATATACATGATTCATATGTTTTGAAATCGCAGTAGACTTTAATGGCATCTAAAGCACAGCCTTGATTAGGATCCACCCAGTATTCACCTAAAGGGAAACAAAAGAAATCAACATATTGATTTACTGTTGAATACTTTACTGTGGATTTTCGCTGGAATTAATTTTCGCTGAAAAGACATTTTGAGCGTTTTGTATGGAATTAATTTTCATTGATTTTTGATGAGTTTAATGTGAAATATAAGGTAAAAAAGTATATTTTCTGGATTTTATTTTCACAGAATCATCCTTCAGCAAAAATAAATTCCAAGCGAAAATAAAGTATTCTACAGTATTTCCAGTAATTATGAATGTTTCAGGGGTTTTTTTTTGGCATATTATAACAGTAAATGAACATTAATTAAAAGAAATTCAAAAATTACGTTTCATGATTACTAGATAACAAATAATTATTTAATTTTCTAGGATTATATCATAGAATATATTTTTCTAATTTATAATATCAGAAAATTATTCTAATAGTATCATAGCTAAGATTCATACCACTGGGCCAATCTGGATGGCAAAGAGCCAGGTCACGACAAGTTCTTGCTGGATTTTTCTTTGAACCAGTAGGTGTTTGTATATTCTGTATTTGTTCATTGAGTGATTGCAGCGATGCCATAACTTCAACATCTCTGACTTTCTGGGCGATAGCATCTCCTTGGTATGGTTCGGGTTCATCTCCTTGCTGGAAGTTCATCAGTACACAAACATTGTCAGTATTTTGTTATTTTATATTTTTTTGGATGTTTTTTTTTAAATTTGTTATTTTAAGTATTTTCTTATTGAGATGAATCGGCTTTAATAACCATTAAATATTTGGGATTTTTATCTTTAATTCTCAACAAATCCAATAAGTCTGAAAAGATGTTATATAACATAGAATATGATTTTGTACTTACTGGTCCTTTCATGCCTGGTTGTGAGAATGAAGCAAACATAGATGAAAAAGCTGCAGCATCAAATCCTTGCTGTAAATTAAAATAAATTAAATCTGTTTAAAAACACACATCTGGAAACAGTAAATTTTCAGTTAAAAATTAATCAATCAAATTCTTGAGTGTAATAATTGTTTTTTGATCTGAAGAGTGGGCTTATAATATAAATGTATGCATGTATACTACTACTGTGTCAAATTAATGTACAGTATATTTTGCATTATTCTTGGAATAATTCTTGTAAACGGTAACAGAAATGCTAATGTGTGAAAAAAAAAAATTAAATAATACTTACAGCATCACCTGGGGGACCCTGTGGAGAGAAAAATATGAATATTAATAAATTTAATAATAATAATTTTCAAAACTAGATTATAAATATTAGAAACAACATTTTTCAGGAGGATACAGGATTATAAAATACAATAGACATACAATCTCTGACTAGGGTATGATGAAAATAATCAGGACAACTATTATATCAGTTTTGGCACTGCAAAACAACTGGCCAAATTAAATTAATAGTATGTTTCTGGTAATATTGAAAACAAATTTAGCATTGGTATGAAAATTAAATAATTATTCTCAATTTATTAATTTGTATCGCTACTTGGCCAATACTGTTATATGAGAGTATTTTTCAATAATACACAAATCTTGCATGTACAGGTTGACAAGTTGATTCAAACTGAAGTTTGAACTTTGTGTAAAATGTTTTTATCACATTTATTCTATATTCTCTGATTTATATTGAAGGAGAACTTATAGTTAAAATAACATTCAATTTTGAAGAGAGTCAAATTACTTACAGGTGGACCAGGTGGACCGGGAGGACCGGAGGTACCCTGTAAAGATAAAAAGTGAAAATTAGTGATTTTAAATTATGAAAAAAAAAACAGATTAATAATATTTCCATGCAACTTCATTATCATTTGCAATCTAACGAATAAATAATATAAAGCCGATGATCGCAACTGGTCATTCAATTTTTGCTATACAATATGTGTTTTTTAGTGAAATGCAGCAAAATGAGTATTGGAATGCGTCTCCTTGAACACTTTGAGTGCCATAATTCCTAATAAAGTTATGGGACAAAATTTTTGAGTAGAAAAAATGTTGTGGTGACATTTTTCAGTATAATATTAAATACTTTTTTTTGATAATTTTGGAACAAATAGGACATAATTGAAGGTGACAAAATTGTTCTTTGGCACTTAATGAATTAATAGATACGCAATGTTAAGAAATAATACACATCCAAATAGATGATACAGCTCCATGTAATTGATATTGTTGCTTCATGCTACATGTAGCTATTAAAATCAGAAATGTCATCGTATCCATGGCTACTGCTAATGAAAATGTCTCAAAGAGATAACAATTTCAATAATGCAACATCATAACTGGAGAATAATTATTATATATGATATCAGAATAACATAAGTTGACTTACGCTATCTCCCCTGTCACCCCGAGAACCTCTTGGACCCTGTGAAAAAGAAGAATTAAATTCAGGTTATCTTCAGCAATGGGAGCAGCTCATTTAAGACAATTCAAATTGTATTATTGAATTTATTTTGTTGGTAGCTTTTGCGTATTATCATACATCTAGCACCGAAAATGATTAAATTTGTCGTTCCTTAAAAAATCTGTATCAGTACTCATTTCAAAAGGTATCAGCTTATGTTCAAAACTTTCAAATATTGATTCCAGTTCATGGCTTATTTTACATTTTGTTTGCACAGAACATCCATTTTAATATTTTATTATTTGTAGGCAATCATTGTTCAATTTATTTATAGTTTCTTACCTCTGGACCGGGTTGACCCATTGGACCATCTTTTCCATTCAAACCTGGCGAGCCTCTAGGACCAGTTGCACCCTACAATTGAACAACATATAAACATTTTGAAATCTAACAAATATTTTAAGTGTTGCAATGTGATATTTTATCAGATCCGGGATTGCATTAAAGAAAGGAGGTTGAGGAAGACTTGATTTAAAATTATTGAAATGTAGACTTCTCAAAAAAGGAGAAGTAAGGAGTACCGGTATAACCAGCCCTGATCATAAACTAGAGCTGGAACTGGTGGTGAAAAGATTAAACTAGAGCATGTCCAAATTGTTTTTCTTTTTTGAACAATTTTCCATTTTGATGCATAGGGAAAAAAACATACCCCCTTATTGTTAATGTAACTTGGTACGGAATATTTATAGGAATGCTAGTCCAGGACTACTTCACATGTATAAATCCATATGAATAAAGGAACTGAAGCTGTGGGATCAGATAAGTAGAACATGAGAGATACTTACTCTTGGACCATTTGGACCAGGAGGTCCTGTCATACCATCTTCACCTGGAACACCCTATAACAAATTCACCAAGTAAAGAAATTATACAAATGTAGTCAATAATAGTTCTTTAAAAAAATATAAGAAATATTACTCACAATTGTAGCTAATATCATTAGCACAAGTTGGCAACTGTTTTTGTTTTCAGCAATGAGATAAAGATTTTTTTTTCTATTATATTAAATATAATAAATGCCTTCTTCCAAATAATGAAAATTTTCAAATTTTCAGTGTGTTATGTATATTTTTTATTATCACACTATAAGCAACAGAATAAATTTCATGAAGGCATGGATGTTTTTTTATGAAAATTTATAAAACGTTTACCCTGGAAGACCATCATGCTTCATTCAAATCCAATGAATGCATTTGAAATGTAAAAACCATTTATAA